CTTAACCAGCATAATGCAGCATGGTCTGTCCTGATGGTAAACCTTGCACCATAGAGGTAAGGATGGAAATATGTCAAGACTATTTACTATAGCAAGAAGTTCTCTTCGTGTTACCCCGTAGTTCCTCTCTGGTCTACTCAGGACCCTACTGAAGTAGGCCATCACATGTTCGTTTTTGCCCACTTTCTGAGACAACACTCCTCCAATTCCGACATTACTAGCATCACAATCCAGTATGTATGGCAGCAAGGGATTTGGAAGCTTTAACTGTGAAGCTCAGGCCAATTTTTCTTTCAATGTCTTAAAAGCATGTTGCCAAGAAACTGTCCATTCAAACTTCTGGCCTTTTCTATCAAATCATGTAGTGGAGCAGCTATAATGGCAAAGTCCTTCACAAACTTCCGGTAATAGTCCCAAGAAACTTCTTAACTCTCCCACATTGTCTGGTGTTGGCCAATCACGCACTGCTTTCACCTTGTCAGGATAAGTTCGCACACCATGCTCACTTACAATGTGACCCAAGTAAAGCACCTCTTTCTGGAACAAGTGGCATTTCTTGGGATGGAGTTTCAGGTTTGCTGTTTCAAACGCTTGAATACTTCCTCTAGCCGGGACATTTCCTCATCAAACGTTGTTGCAAACACAATGACATCATCCAGGTACACTAGGGCTATCCTGCATTGTTGGCCTTCCATTACACTTTCTATCAGACAATCTCATGTGTTGCTGGAGCATTTCTAAGCCCGAATGGCATCACATGGTATTGACAGAGACCTTGGCCATAACTAAATGCAGTCTTAGGTTTATCTGCTTCAACCATTTTCATTTGATGGAAACCTGACTTTAAGTCCTGAGTTGAAAACCACTGGCTCCACTTAGGGCATCGAGAGTATCATCAATTCTTGGCAGTGGGCATGTGTCTTTTTCGGTTCTACTGTTAAGAGCTCTGACGTCCACACAGCAACGATGGGCCCATCCTTCTTCTGGACTAACACGACGGGAGCTGACCAGGGACTATCTAATTTCTCGACTATCCCTTCCTTAATTAAGCCATCCATGACCTTCTCCATCTCTTGTTGCTTTGCTGGAGCTATTCTCTTCGGAGGGATCTTTAATGGACGGTGATTACCTGTATTTATTCTGTGCTCTACAAGGTCTGTGCAGCCGAGGTCATGATCTCCTTTGGAAAAGACGTCTGCATAATTTGTCAAAAGTTTCCTAACCTGAAGAGCCTGTGATGATGACAAATGGACTATACTTTTCTTATAGAGGTCAGTTAAATGTTCTGGGAGAAGACATCCTGTCTTTATGGTCGTATTTCTTGCCTTAACATTGACTGGCTCTACCTCCTGGCACACATCCAACAATGCCCCTTCCTTAAGTGTCTGCTCAGATTTAGAGAAATTGGTCACTGTTATGGGTACTACTTGATGACCTGCCACAACTTACCGTCCAATCTTTATATCTGCTGGCCTGGATGGGTCTTCCACTGCTTCCACAAGCATTGGGCTTCCTTGGGGATATTCTTTTATTCTACCCCAAATTACCTTCTCTGACATAGGGGGTATTGTAGTTGACCTAAGTGCTCTGACATGCAAATCAACAGATGCAGCAACAATTACTGGAATTTGACCTTTGTTCCCAATCATCATTTTATCGAAGTTAACTACACACTTTCTCGGTAATAAGTAGTCCAACCCTAATATGCATTGGTTTTCAATGTCAGTCAAGTATACTTTGTGTCTGTCCTTCATGCCCATGAGCTCAACAGTTACCCACACTGGTCCCCACAACCTTGCTTAATGTCCTGTCACACCACAGAGCTTCTGTATAGCTTTCGGTACTCCTTTGTGATCTAGCATC